TCTCACTCCTGTTGAATGAAACCCTGGGGTTGACCATGTTTTTAGGTGAGTAGCTTTACTCACCACATTTGTCCAAATATGGGTTGGTGAGGCTATTTAACTCATAGTAGGGGTGGAGTTCATCCACCCTCAAAAGATTCAAAGCTGAAATTATTTGTTCAAAATAGAATATTGTTTTATTTCATTTTTTAAAACTTCTAATATTGTCAATGGATGAATTTCTAATCATGTTGTATTTAGAGATCTGAGGTATAGCAAGTAAAACAGCTTTTGGTATGTATGTATATGCTGGCCACTTGCATTCAAGGATACCTGTATACTAGGGCGGCTAGACAATCCCTATTGCTCAGGTGCATTTGTGTTTATTCAACACCCACAGAGCCCACCTGTGGTTTATACTTCAACTATGCTCAGCAGGCCTTAGTTACAGTTTCTGGAAAAGAATGTATTATCTGATGTCAGCAACAATTTGAACAAGGACAGCACACTCAAGCCCTCAGCCATGATGACTTGTGATTTTGTGTTAGCACAGTTATCAACAGCCCCCAAGGGTTCCATCTACACAATTTCACTCATAAGGCTTGAGTCAACCTGTGGTGTAGTTTTCAGGTACTTTCCAAAGGTGCTGCATGCTGGGATCGACCCCCTCCAGTTTGATAAAACCTGGAAGTTTCCTTCCTGACAAATCAACCATGGTGAGATTCGAACCCAGGTCTCATGGTCAGAAAGTGAACGTTCTAACCACTTGGTCACGTGCACATAACAGCTTCTGGTATATTTATGTCAAATGTATATTTATGATATTCATCTTTTACTTAAATAAGATCCCTAGCTGCACCAAGTTGTTCTGCAGTTAAGTAAGTATATATGTGAGTTTGGTTAAAGAGCATGGCAGTTCAAGGACACACACCCAAGAAAAAAGAAACACATTAGAATGTGAGGTTCTTCCACATTCTCCATATTTGCCAGATTTAGAACTTACAGATCTTTATTTGTTTCAAGCACTAAAACATTTTCAAAATGGCAGATTATCCAGAAATGAAGATGAAACTAAAAACAGACTTTCAAAATTTTGAAAGAAATTGAGATTTGGAGTCTGTCTATATTTCCTGAAGGACACATGGCACAGTGGATAAAGGCATTGGTTAGATCCAGTGACAGGACCCCAAGAGTGTGAATTCAATACCCGGTTAAGGCAGTGGAGAACTTTCAGAGGGAAATTAGTAGGAGTTAACTGATAACTGACATCCATCAAACATGGCACGTGGAACTAGAACAGTTTACCCCAGTGAGCAAAATAAAGGGTTCATTTCGAAATTCCAACCACCTAAAGAAGGCCGGAGCATACAATGACCAAATTTCTTCAAATATGGAATCAAAAATTTACCTTCATGTTGTAAATGAAGGTGATTACATTTTTGATAAATAATATTACTATGAATAATCAAGAGTGGTCTCCTCTTGTTTTGTTAGTCTCCTCTTTGAGAGAGCTATTTCTGTTTACTGGGACTATAAAAGGACACTATATGCAAACCTTGTATTGTCAGTTGAATAAAGCTTTCTTAAAGCCTACACCTGCATACTTTTGTCATTACAAATATGTAATTTTTTTATTTCTGGAATGGAATTAATTTTTGAATTTGATATTTAAATAAATTCAACTTACATATCCAGTGGGAAAATGAAATAAAATCAATAAATAAAATAATAATAATGAATAATAAAAGAAAAGAAAAAGGAATACATTTTCCCATGATGCTAATAATAAAGGAACCAGAAAGTTTATTACCCCACTTGGCTTCACCAAACGCCCATTAGGTGGCACTGTTTAAGTCTATAAAAAGTCAGACATTTTCTTCTACTTTGTCTTTCTCCCCCTTGCTCCAAAAAGATGTCCCAGCTAGCAAACATCTACTTTCCCCAGTCAACAAATGAAGTAAGTACAACCTGTACTTTGGTCATTCCAACACAGTGCAAGGCTGACTTGAGCTCGACCAATACGATTGTCCTTATTATGACTTACCCTAACTTACTTCTGGACAAAAAAAAAAAAAGACACCATTTCCAAAAAAGGATCAGAAAAAGAAACTTTTTCTAATGCATAGTGTTCACACATGTTTTACTGAATCTCCATGGAAACTCTTTCTACTTTCCAGTATATCATAGTGTTTGCATGTGTCTTCCAAAACCTCCACCTATAAAGTAAAGCAACTTTTTCTTTGGTCATTCCAACTCAGTGCTAGGTTGACTTGAGCTCAATCATTATAACAATGCTTATCCATACTTGTCCTAACTTCTGAACTAAAAAGAGAAAACAGACATAGCTAAGAGATACTGTGAGAAATTTGTTTCCCTACAGAAGAGGTGGATTCATACCTGTTATATATATATATATAATTTAGGATTCCAATGGAATAAATCATGACCATGGAATATTAGTGTTTAAGCCTTTTTATTATATTCTTACTCTGTCCTGGACATTGAGTTCTACCTGGATTCTATCCTCTTGGAATTTTTTATACAAAATACATATGTATGTGTATGCATGTATATATATATATATTTATATATTTTGCATATGTATGTGAATATTTACCACTAATATTATCTCTCTCTCTCTCTCTCTCTATATATATATATATATATATATATATATATATATATATATATATATATGAACACTAATAGGTATGTCCCAATCCTCATAAATACGTTGGATACTATTGTAAGTCAGGTAATAAGCTGTCTAAGTAGTCCACCACTAGCAGTGGTTTACCGACTTCATGGCACTTTCATTTCTCCGTTTTGGTTATTCCTCATTCAGTAACTTTTTCTAGGTTACAACAATACCTTTTCCAAAAGTATTTGCACATAAGTGAATATAACAAACCCAACAGATATTGGAACTCTTCTTTCCAATTAACAATTCAGAGCCATTATCCATTACACTACTTGTACATCCAAGCTTACAGCACTTTGTATTCCCAAGTGGTCAACCATGTAAGTACTGACCAGGATTGATGTTGCTTAACTTCAGTCATTGTATGGGAACTGGTATTTCCACGTGATGTAGCTCTAAGCCTTGAGGCAACAGAGATCTGGTTGTAGCAGGTATGTTCGTGACATTCAGTTATTTGAATAAAGAAAAGTTAATAATAAATGTTATACTCTTAAAAGAAGAAACATGGTGAATAAGCATTTTTAAATGATTGCATTTGATTAAAAGTACAACACTCTAACTATTTTCATTGATTAAGCATTGACCTAATGAATGCTGGTAAGTACCAATGAAAACATTGTGTTAAAAACAGCACAGCAGAAATAATGAGTTCAAATAAATCATGATGTCATGAAACCACTTTTCAAAACTATAAGCAGCTGTTTAAGTGGCTTTAAGGCCAATTCTGGTTACTAAAAAAAGCAAGAACTTTGGGGTTTTAAGAGGTACACTTTCTAGTGGCACCATTGGTTTCATCGCTTAACTACTGTTAGCCTGTCTATCATTGTTGTCAGTGATAATACTATTCTTTTGTTGAGTGAAAGCTATATATGTTGAAGACATTCAGCTAAGAATACTTTGAGCTGAGAATCTTGTTTACACTGTGACAGACATAAAAACATGGAAATACTTGTGATATTAAAATATGAATCAAAGACAGCATGGGTGAAGGAGAAGAGGTACAAAGCAGCAGGATTAGATGAGACCGTCATCTTGCTGTTGACAGTCTTAGATGACTTGTTAGTGAAGTGCCAAATGAAACATACAACCTGAAGATCCATTATTTCTGTCTGAATTCCTGGGATAAGGAGTTATCAGCATTTACATTATTTGCATGCAAACTAATATTATTATCTTTGTTATTATCTATCTATCTATCTATCTATTAATTGACTTTGTTAATAATGACTATATGATTTCTACCTGAATTTTTGGGATGATGAGTTATCATTATTTACATTCAGACCAATGTCCTCATCTTTGTTATCTATCTATCTATCTATCTATCTATTAATTGACTTTGTTAATAATGACTATATGATTTCTACCTGAATTTTTGGGATGATGAGTTATCATTATTTACATTCAGACCAATGTCCTCATCTTTGTTATCTATCTATCTATCTATCTATCTATCTATTAATTGACTTTGTTAATAATGACTATATGATTTCTACCTGAATTTTTGGGATGATGAGTTATCATTATTTACATTCAGACCAATGTCCTCATCTTTGTTATCTATCTATCTATCTATCTATCTATCTATCTATTAATTGACTTTGTTAATAATGACTATATGATTTCTACCTGAATTTTTGGGATGATGAGTTATCATTATTTACATGTCCTCATCTTTGTTATCTATCTATCTATCTATCTATCTATTAACTGACTTTGTTAATGCTGATTATGTGAATTCTGTTTGGATTTCTGGGATGAGGAATCAACATTATCTACTTTATTTACATTTGCACTAATATACTCATCTCTGTTGTTATCTATCTATCTATTAACTGTCTTTGTTAATGCTGACTTTATGATTTCTACCTGAATTTCTGGGATGATGAATTATCATTATTTAATTTCAGACCAATGTCCTCATTTTTGTTATTATCTATCTATCTATCTATTTGCTTGTATATAGAGAATGTGTTAAGTAAGGGTATTTGTGCATAAGGGAATTAAATGAACCTCACTGGAATTTTCACTTAGTTCTCTGATTTCTCCATTCATCCATTTTCTATAGCTTATCAACTCTTTGCATGTTATTTTAAAGCTAAAAAATATTTTTAGATTGTAAGAATTTTTTCGAAATAATAATGGTTTAGTGATACACATCTGACTAATTAACCCATAGCTGGGGGAAAAGAGATGGATTCACATCTTTCCCAAAGATATTTGAATGTAAGTGAATATAACAAACCCAACAGGAATTGGAACTCAGCTCTCCGATTAACAATTCCAAGCTATTACCCATTATACAATCTCCAAATCCAAG